TACAATATTTAGCGATAAGGAGACAGTGTGCAAGTGCACTAACATGGCGAGGATTGTCAATTATACCGTAAATAATCATCTTCTCGTCTACAATTAGGTCTTGTTTTGTACATCGTTTCCACCAGTAACAGAATTCTTTCCAAAATTTTTCTGCTTCTTTACAATACAAGAATAAATGTTCAATAGTGTGCTTATCTGTGCAATTGTTACATCGATCCGTTTGTACCAGATTTGTTTTTCTTAGCCAACTATTTGTAGCCAGGTAGTGATGGATAATCTTATACTGAAAACATTGTAATTTGGTTTCCCTTGTAGCAACAAAAGCAGCAGTATAGGCTCTCGTCGGTGTTGTCTTTTACCAATTTTTTTGTATAATTTTCTGATTCTCTACTTGGAGGCACAACTTGTTTCTGAATAAGAATATCATATAATTGTTTGCATGTTGTTGTTAAGGGATGTATCTTTTCGGTATATTCAATAATGTTGTTAGGGGTGCATTTTCCTCCATTGTTTTTAATTATATCTTTCCACTTTTTAGGTATGGCTACTCTTATAGAATTGTATTTCATTATTTGCTTTGAATCCATGGTTATACCATATAGATTATGTAAGTCATTGATTGTTAGAAATGATCCATCCCCATACAACAAATCATTCACACAAATGATGCCGGCATCTATCCAGCTTTTGTAAAACACTGGTACATTCTCGACTAAAATATACCTATTATTCCACAGGACTTGTGAGCATATCTGTCTGTGTGTTTTTGGTTCATAGTGGATAATTTCTTCCCAGGCAGTTACAATATCTTTGTAGAATGGTGGCATGTCATTAAGATTTAACAGTGAAGTGGAGTAATTACATCGGAACAACAAGAAGCCTCCCCATCTTGCAAACAAGTATTCTTTTTCTTTTGACGGGTCAGTTATAAATCTTTTGATCCATATAGCTTTTAGAGCTTTATTCATTATATTAAAATCAATCATTTTAAGCCCACCTTGACATTTGTTGCCAATCAGTGTCTTCATTTTTACTTTTGGAGTTTTTTCTCGCCAGATGTACCTGAATATATATCCATTTACTTGTTTTACAAAATGGGTAGGGACATGCATAACTGAACAGATATATATCAACTTGGAGATACCAATGGTTTTCACAATCAAAATCCGGCCAATCAATGTCAGATTTCGCTGTTTCCATATATTACATCCTTGCACCATTTTTGCATAATTTTTATCAAGGTCTTCCTTATAACACCTTTGTCTGTCATGACCAAAATGTGTACCAAGTGCTTTAATAGGACCATCAGGCCAGCGAATGGGTAGTGGTTTATCTTGTCTTTCTTTATTTGAGCCTATCCAGAGAGCTTCTGTTTTTCCGTAGTTCAAATCGAGACCACTGCATTTTTTAAACCGATTTAGAGTATCTAATAGGTGCAGTGCAGAAGCTATATCTAAGAGTAACGATGTCATATCGTCCGCATACATGGATAATTTATGTGTCCTGTCATACAATTGTAGACCGTTAATGTTTACGTCGGCTCTAATAGCTGAGGCTAACATTTCAACACTAATTATAAACAGACTGGATGACAGTGGATCTCCCTGTCTTACACCTCTATGAATATTAAACCAAGGAGATATAAAGCCATTGTTAAGCACACAACTTTTTATATCTGTATATAGTAATTTGACCCATCTGATTATGTCATTTCCAAAATTTACAGCTTCCAGTGCCTTCAGTATAAATGAGTGTTCAATACTATCATACGCCTTTTTAAAGTCCAAGAACATAAGTAATCCAGGTTTGTTCTTTTTGTCATAATCCTCTATTATATCATAGACACGTCTTATGTTTGTTCCTATATATCGCTGTTTCACAAACCCAGTTTGGTCCTCATGTATTAAGAAAGGAAGAAAACGTTCAATTCTCAGCGTTAGCGCTTTACTTACGATTTTATAGTCTACGTTAAGCAAACTTATCGGCCGCCAGTTGTCTAAGTTACTTGTGTCTAAACCTTTCTTGGGGATTAATCTTATTACTCCACGCCTAAGTGAAATAGGTAGTGAGTTTATATTGTACGCTTCGTTAATTGCATTAACTAGGTAGGTCTTTAATAATTCCCAATACTTAACATAGAATTCTATGGTAATTCCGTCACATCCTGGCGCCTTGTTTTTATTTTTGGATAGAGCCTGTAGTGCCTTTTTTAGTTCAAACTCTTTGATTTCACCCTCGCAGCTGGTCTTGTGTTCATCATCTAACTTTTTTACCCCATCGTTATGTAAGAAATACGCTGCTTCATTTATGTTAAGATCACAGTTTGTGGAAGTGTATAATTTTTCATAATATTCAGCTTCTTTTAATAAAATTGTTTGAGGGTTTGTTGTTGTTGAGCCGTCTTCCAAAGTTAGAGAAGTAATAATCTTTTCTTGGTAGTTTCTTTTTTCTAGATTGAAAAAGTATTTTGTACTTCTTTCTCCCTGCTCATACCATCTGCTTCTACTTCTAATAATAGCACCTTTAGTTTTATGATATTGTATACTTTGTAATTTTTCTTTTATTTCACAGATTAGCTTTTGTTTTCCAGTATCGTCCGTTTCATCAGTTTCCCTTATCAAACAGTTAAGTTGTTCTTCTAATTCTTTCTCTTCGTTTTTGTAAGCACGCGCTTTATTTTTAGAGTATTGAATGCTGAGTGATCTTATTTCCATCTTAATTATTTCCCACTGTAGACCTGGCTTTTGAGTATCTTCTAGTTTATCCTTAATATTTGAAAGTAAATTTATCATTTGTGTATTAAAAGTTTGATCTGCTAACAATGAGTTATTGAAGCGCCAAAAACCTGGCCCTCTTTTTTGGGGTTTAGGGGATTCAATTGTCATAATCACAGCTCTATGATCAGGGACAGGCGCTACATTAATGCTGCATTCACTTAGGTGTACAGAATGATAAGGTACAAACCAGTAATCTAACCTGCATTTTATACCGTCATTTTGCCAAGTATACTGTCGACAACCTGGATTTTTTTCTCTCCACACATCAGCTAAATTCAAGGAATTCAGTAAACAATTTAGTTCCTTGATTGCAGAATCCTTGTCATCAATGGGTCTTCCCCCCGTTTTATCTAATTCTGTAAGGGAAATATTACAGTCACCTCCAATGAGAACTGTCCCACTGGCGTTTTCCTGAGCTAATTGGTTTATTTCTTTAAAGAATTTCACTTGTTCTGTTCTCTTGTTTGGCGAGTAAAGGTTAATCAGACTTACATCGTTATCGTTTACTTTACCATTTGCCATGATATATCTACCGTTTGGGTCAAGAAGTATTTGTTCGAAATCTGTGTCCACCTTTGGATTAAATAGCATCATTACCCCTTTCCCGTGAGTTGTGCCATGACTAAAATTAATTTTCCCGCCCCATTCAGTAGTCCATTGTTTTTCATTTTCTTTTGCCGAAAATGTCTCCTGTAAGAAGACAATATCAATTTTCTGGTTGTGTATCCATCTAAATATGTTTCGACGTTTCAATCTGTTATTCAAACCTCTAACATTTAACGAAATAAGCGTTAACTTGGATGTTAGATTATTTCTTGATGACATATGGATGATTCATTACACATAACACAATACACATACACAAAATTATAACAGGCATGAGTTCTATATGGTAAATACCGTGCAGTTCTAGTTATCATCAGTCCTGCGGTCGGAGATGACCAGTTTGTCAAACCGTATATAGGCCACCTGTCCTCGTTCCCTGGCCGCCCGTAGTGCCGGTTGCAGATCTTTTCTCTTCTGTCTGATTTTGTCCGAAAAATCCTCGTTTATGAAGATCTGTGTTCCTTTGAGCATCTTCGCTTGCCTTAGAATGTTCTGTTTGTCCTTGTATCGAAGCAGCTTGACCACAATAGGGCGTGGTCGGTCCCCAGGCTTGCCGTTGCGATGAGCTCGCTCGATCTCGATGTTATCCGTGTTTAAGCGAAGCTTGTTTCTCAGTACCTCTTTCACCTTAGTTTCGGACTGTTCCCATGTCTCTTTTCTGTCGTCTTTATCCCGTCGTAAGATCAGATTGTTCCTTCTGGACTGGTTCTCAATGTAATCCTAGCTTGTTGCCATCTCGGTCACTTCAGTGTTGTACGTCATGATATTCTGTTCCAGCTGTTTTAATTTGTCTGCATTCTTGTCACTTGTTTCTTTCGTGTCACTGATCTCTCCTTGTGAGAAATTCAAGCTGTTTTTTAAGTCTTGCATCTCTCTGACGAGGTTATCCATCCTTTGATTTGCTGAATCTGTGATTATTTGTACAAATGAACGTAAAGTTTTTTCTTGCTGGTCCAGAAGGTCTTTGTAGTAGACCTTTTGCTGTTCTAAAATCTCCTTCATAAAAAGCAACACTAACTGGCACTTCTTCATCTATGTTAGTGTTGTTGTTTCTCTTAGGTGGCATGTTGATGGTGGCACTTGTAAACAATGTTAGGCACGCCGAGTTAATTTACCCACACCGGTTTGAGTAGTCGTTGTACGTAGAAAATGCCTCTATGCCGAGAAAATGTTAAACAAAACCACGTAGAGGGTGCTTTAAACTTGCCTTGACTGTAGTTCTGTCCTCTGGTGTCCCGGGAAGTGGTTTGTAGGAGTCGGAATCCACAGGTGGTTGAGGAATCCCTTTGTCTCACGGTAGTTTCCCTCCCCACGTACTGCGTCACACCAGTTTCGTGATCGAAATCTTCCTCAATTTTGGCCAAAACGGTTCAAAACTTGGGTCAGAAGCAAGTCCAGATATTACTTCACTTGTTTCCTCGAAGATTCACCCTCGATGGCATTTACTGCACTAAAAACACTTGTTTGGCCTGGCAAGTGCAGGAGCTGACAAAAAGTGGGGCAGCTGTAAAAGCGCCACCATGCGGAAAAAACTTAAATATAGAGATAATGAAATGTTTTTATTATGTTAAACCATTACCATTGTTACAGAATTCTAAAGCCATGCTGCTGTTTCAGGTTCCCATGGCCAGAGTTTCCACCTGACCCGGTGTGAGCACTAAGTCATCATGGCTGGGAGACTACAGGACAGACAAACAGGTAAGGCTCTAGCCTAGTGGTAAGGCTCTATACTGGTAAGGCTGTAGCCTGGGAACCAGACAGTTAAGGCTGTAGCCTGGGAACCAGACTGGCAAGGCTCTAGCCTGGGAACCAGAATGGTAAGGCTCTAGCCTGGGAACCAGACTGGTAAGGGTCTAGCCTGGGAACCAGACTGGTAAGGCTCTAGCCTGGGAACCAGACTGGTAAGAATCTAGCCTGGGAACCAGACTGGAAAGGGTCTAGCCTGGGAACCAGACTGGTAAGGCTCTGGCCTGGGAACCAGACTGGTAAGAATCTAGCCTGGGAACCAGACTGGTAAGGCTCTGGCCTGGGAACCAGACTGGTAAGGCTCTAGCCTGGGAACCAGACTGGCAAGGCTCTGGCCTGGGAACCAGACTGGTAAGGCTCTAGCCTGGGAACCAGACTGGTAAGAATCTAGCCTGGGAACCAGACTGGTAAGGCTCTGGCCTGGGAACCAGACCTGTAAGAATCTAGCCTGGGAACCAGACTGGTAAGGGTCTAGCCTGGGAACCAGACTGGTAAGGCTCTGGCCTGGGAACCAGACTGGTAAGGCTCTAGCCTGGGAACCAGACTGGTAAGGCTCTAGCCTGGGAACCAGACTGGTAAGGCTCTAGCCTGGGAACCAGACTGGTAAGGCTCTAGCCTGGGAACCAGACTAGTAAGGCTCTAGCCTGGGAACCAGACATATAAATCTCTAGCCTGGGAACCAGACATATAAGGCTCTAGTCTGGTAACCAGACTGTTAAGGAGGTAGCCTGGGTACCAGACTAGTAAGGCTCTAGCCTGGGAACCAGACATATAAAGCTCTAGCCTGGGAACCAGACATATAAGGCTCTAGTCTGGTAACCAGACTGTTAAGGAGCTAGCCTGGTAACCAGACTGGAAAGGAGCTAGCCTGGGAACCAGATTGGAAAGGAGCTAGCCTGGGAACCAAGCTGGTAAGGCACATAAGTTTCTGACTGATCAGGGATATTACTTGGTTAGTCGTATTTTTTTATTCATGCTATTTTTGATGACCATGAATAAAAATAATATTTGAATTTATGAACAACCTTGTCTATTTTGTGATTACATTTTTTTCTATCCATGTCGCAGGGCCAGTTGATGAGGAGGAATATTTTGACAAAGTTGTCAAAGGCGTCAGCCACAAATGGGACGACCTGGCCCGGAAGCTAGGATTTGATCGGAATGAGATCAAAGGCATCGGAACCACAGAACCCAGTCCTGACCACAGGTGCAGAGAAGTGCTGCACAGGTGGAGAAACAGGGAGGGAAGGAAGGCTAGTCTACAGGTTTTGAACCAGACACTCATCAACATTGATGAAAGGCTGACAGCAGAGAGTTTAGATGGTGGGTTTCCTGTTTCTGATTATAAAAAAAAGTTATATGGTCAAAAACAAATTAATATATATTTATATATGCAGCTCTTACACCCACACCTTCAGCTATTAACAAAGAAAGCAAACACAGCAATGTAAGTCATTTTCTTAAAGTTATTGTCAGAAACCTTGACAGTTCAAACAGACAATACTTATACTACCTGGTATTAAATAAATTGGTTTTGTCCCATCTCTTAGGCAAGAAAACAAGACGGAAAAGGAAGAGAAAAAGAAAACCAAAACAGCCCAAAGAAGACGATTCATCGGAAAAGTCATCTTCAATGGGGAATGATCCTCATAATGGTAAGTTTGGCATTCTAAAATTTTGTCTGTTTCTTTCCAATGAAGGTATTGATCGTTAACTATAACTCTTGAAATGCATCGTGTTTAACATGATTGTTACAAATACCCGCTTTTCCAGGACCTGCCCCCAGCCACAACTATTTCATACCTGTAGCCAAAGCGGTTGGGTCCTCATGGGGAAAGTTTGCAGTAGAACAACTGGGTCTGACAGCAGAAGACGTGGTGAACATCCAGGTACAACATCCCAGCAGCATCGAGCGTCAGGCGTTACAGGCCCTGGAGCTGTGGAGGCACAGGCGTGGCAGGAAGACCTGTAGGGTGAAGCTGGCAGGAGCTCTCAGGAAGGGAGGGTTCATACATACTGCAGGTGGGCTGGTACTTTTGTTGGCAGTATTGGGCTGTTGATGTTTACGATAACAAAATTGCTGTAGAACTCAAGCGTGTAAATTTATATGGAAAGAGCCTCTGAGTATCATCCGTGTAGCTTTGTACGCTGCTACCAATGGAAAAGCCCAGCATTAATTCTATTTCATGTCTTCGTCAGTCAAAAAATAAAAATCCATGCATCTTTCTTTTTTTTCCCAACAGATGAACTTGACAATGGTCACGAAGTCAAAACACACATTCCTAACCACAAACAGTGGACAGGTAAGAGGCATATATCCTGTTGGTCCCTGCTCAACCTCACTTTCACAGGACTTTTATACAACATGGCACTATATATATTATGGCTCAGTGCTGCAGATCATTGATAAATCAGGCAACTGTGAATAATTCTTAACATCAAACCAGGGGCACAGTTTGATATAACCGTCACTTGTTGTATTTTTCATGAACAATAGATGCTTATTTGTTGTTGTTGTTGTTGTTTTTTGTTCCAGAGCCCAGTCGTAAAAAGAGGAAGACCCAGGATTCACTTCAAATAAAACAGGAATCAGAACAGTCTTATCATGTTGCATGTGCTGGTAAGTACATGTACTAAGCTCTACATTTGTTTTACATCTCCTAACTTTGATAAACCTTTCAGGTGCTAGACATTAGTAAGATAATGCATTAGCTTTGACTGTGACGCTGTATTTCTTTCAAGAGGTAACAACAAGGATGGACAAAAAGAATTACCCTGAAGATTGTCTAAATTTATACCCACAGAATCAAATGGTACCAACGGACGGGACACAGTGGACCAGAGAGCGGGAACAAGCAGTAACGGAACACAACATTTCAATGGGAGGACGGAAGATGGTTATGAGACAAGCTCCACAAGCTCACGGTCAAGTCAACAACATGAATCGTCAAGTTCAACTAGTTCAAGTTCAACTAGTTCAAGTTCAACTAGTTCAAGTTCAACAAGTGGAGAAGAATCAGATTCTGTCAAAGGTGTGATACTTTTAAAACAAACAATTACTAAACGATATAGATATTCATCGTTTCATTCGTCATCTCATTACACTAGCTCATCTGTATCTATGTGTTTTCAGATGCGTTTTTACTCTATATAGATCAGGTATATAGATTGTTGGGTAAGACAAGAAATAGTGGTGGAAGTTGTCCTTTCCTATGATGATATGAATGGGTGTATTTGGCATATTTACATCACTTGTTTCTCTGAGTAACAATGATGATATGTCTCCGATGCTGCAGGACCTCATTTCATGCAGCCATCAAATGTCAAACTGGAAGGAAAACAACAGAATGGAAAGAGCAGGAAAAGGAGAAGGCAGCTTCAGAATAGAGCCGCAAGACAGAAAAAAAGGATAAAGCCTGACCCTGAGGCAGGGAAGATGCCTGGGTCTATTAAAGGTAAATCAATTATTTATTAAGATATGCACATTACAAATGTGCCAAAAAGGGGTTGGATAAACTTTTCGTATACCGACATGAAATATGTACATAAAGATTGTATTGTTATGTCCTTAACAAGTTATTGTTGAAGCATTCACATACACACGACACAGTCATACCATATTCAATATCTTTCACCATTATGTATGATTCAACATGCAAATGACATTAACATAAACCATATTACAATAAAACAATATTGCATACCAACTAAAAAAAGGAAAAACAAAGCTATAGATACTGAAATGATGCCCGTTATGTTTTTCTTCCACCTCTTATAACACTATAAAACTATCTTGTTTATTTTACAGGAGAAGCTGACAGTAATGATCCAGACATGTCTGTTCCAAATGGTTCAGATGATGATAAAGGCACTATTTATCACTTTGTTGTTAAGACTGCTGAAAGGATGTTTGATAAGAAAACTGTTGAGAATTATGATGAGTTTGCGAAATGTGTGAAATCATTTGAAAATGTTGCATCAGCAGTGCCAGATGAGGATGTCATAGACAAGAAGCCTATTTTAAAATTACAGTCTTGGGTCAAGTTGAGGATAAAAGTCAGGGTTTCCGACAAAATTGCAGAAATGGCTCAGATTATTTTCACAGACGAAGTACTTGATCCAGGAGATAGAGAATTATTTCACAAAATGGCAGAATGCTTTGGTCGGTTTCAATCTGCGCTCAGAAAAGCAGAACGTGGATGTGTACTTTGCTATCTTGACTTCGCTGATGTCGGCTGTTTCGACACGTTTTGGCGCGGCTACAGTGACGGGAGCCTGTCCGACACCCTGACCCGAGAACTGATCACAGACGACATGAGGGCAGCAGAGGGAGGAGCAGACTTGTACGTACATGTCCGAGTCCTGCACTCTGCTACAGAGGAGGGGGACTTCTCAGACCAGGGTAAATTATCACATTTCTGGACTATCACTTTGGTAAAAAATTAAAGAAAAATATAGGAGTTACTGTCAAATCTGAAAGGAAATACATGTACCATTTCACATTGTGCAATGATTGTTTAATTGTTTGGGACATCTATTGAGGTTGACCCTGCAATTTTTTTTCACATTTGCTTCATATGATTTGCCAGAAACACATTTTTGCCTTACTCCTCCCCAGACCCAAGTGGCACAGCAGACCGAGGCCCCCCACATCCTGGTCCATCTGGGGAACATACAGGACAGGGTCCTCCTGCACCAGGCAGCGGTAACCATGGTGATGACACGCCTCCTGGTTACCATGGTGATGGGCCAGGTGGGCTACAGGTGTCAGGTGGTGATGACGTCATCCAGGTGAAGCAGGAGCCAGCTGAACAGATGCCGTCGTGCTGCATGATGGGAAATGTGAAATCAGGTAAAACACTGTATCATCAGCTCATCAGAGTTTTGAAGGCAGATCTGATAATGGCCTAACCTATGCAGGGGTTTTGGCAACAGCATAGGGTAACATGTATGTTTGTACGTTAATGTCTGACGTACTGTGTATAGATCATAATTTTTATAATAATGATAATAATAATAACTTTTCCGCTTTCTTTTTCTCCCTCCAGAGATAAAGGGTGAACTGGCGGGTCCATTTCCCAAGAGAGAAGAAACAGGTGCAATGTTTTATTATGTTTTAACATTGTCTAATTCATCTTTCCTCTGTAAATCAGTATAATAAGTATCTGATAGAAAAAATTGTGATGTAGATTGGGCTAGATATATCATAAGCTCTTCATAGAAGATACCTGTCTTAAACATTCCACAGAACTGGACAGACAGCTAGCCGCTGTTGCTGACCAACTGGGTTCCATGTGGGAGCGGCTGGCTTTATCTCTCGGCTTCACCACTGACTTCATCCGGAACCTGACAGCTAGCCAGCCCCCCGCCCTCCGTCCGCGCCAGCTGATCTGTGATTGGATGGAAAGGAACGCTGGTGACGTTACTCTGGACCAGCTGGTGCAGGCCCTGAGGGATGCTGGGATACACCAGGTTGCAGGAACAGCAGTCGAGAATCGTTACCCGAAATGCATTGCGCGACAACCATATTATCGTTTTTTTCAACCACGTGACCGGCTCAGTTCAAACTTGGGCGGCATTGGAGGTAGACCGAGATGCTGTAGCTCCTGACTTTTCCTCGTGCAATCTAGTCTACTTGCACTGCGTTGCACCGGAAAACTTGAGGTACATATGGGAGGATTTCAACATTGTTTCAGTCAAGGTCCGTCCTTGCCACGTTTCTTTTGTGACGACAGCACGGGAGCGGAGATTGTGTTTGATAGCGAACAGGGGACGCTGGCAGAGTGGTCACCAAACATTTACTGCACCGAAGCTGATCCGTGTGACCAGCAGTTGTGTGGTCAAGGTGGGTTTCTGCAAACATTTTACTAAATTCTACAGCATTGGGAATGTTTGTGAGTATAACTTTTGTACATACAGTACTCGTTCTTTACATTTGCAACCGAGACACATAATTATTTAGTGCGAGCCGCCGAGTGTGTGGGAGGGGGGCACGTAAGTAGGAGCAAACCGTCGTGATAGTAGTCTGTTGTACGTACAGTTATTGAAGCTAAAGCAGACTATTTGGCTCAAGATTCTGTCGTTAACAAGGCGATGTTTTGGATCTCTAAAAAGTTTAGCCAACTTGACTTGAAAAACGGAATTTTAATGAGATTAACGCAAGCATAATGATAGCAAAACAAAGTGTCTTTACGTACGTGGATGGCGTCCTCGTGTCAGCAGCTACCAAGCTAAACAGATTTTCTAGACTTTTCGGCAAACGTCTTGTCAGATTTGTAAGAGGATTGTCTCTTAGTTCACGCTATACAGAGCGATATAAGACTGCAATTTAACATGATGCAGAAGATGTAAAATGTATAGTTATGCTGGTTATTTTTATACACCGGGCTGTTCAAAAACTGTGGAGGGGGGGGGTCGAGTTTGTAACGTCTGGATAGGAACTAGGGAGTGTTTGAAAATTTGGAATAGAACTAGGGAGTGCTTGAGCAATTTTTGATTGGAACTAGGGAGTGTTTGAGCAATTTTTGATTGGGACTAGGGAGGTTTGAGCAAATTTGGATTGGAACTAGGGAGGGTTTGAGCAAATTTGGATTGGAACTAGGGAAAAATCTGGCTAGGAACTAGAGTAGGATCCAAAGTTGATTTTTGACCTCTGCCACCCCTTCTACATGTATTTTTTTGTAACAGCCCAATCCTACACATGAAGGGTAGACAGTTGTACATCAGACACAATTGTGCAGTACTTGATTAATGTTGACACTGACAGTATCCATCTTCCAATGCAGTGGTTTTATGATGACCCTGATGAAGGGGAGGGCCGTGCAACCTGCATCTGGGAGTGGGAAGAAATCACGAACATCCCCTCAAGTGTCCCCACTAGCCGATCGTCCAACGCCAGTAATTCTTCCACCTTGCTCATGCCAGAGTTGGATGATGGAGAGTGCCCTCACTGCTGTCTCATCATCCCCCCAACACCTTCATCACCACCCCAACAAGCACCCGTAGTGGACAGTGACAGTGATGAAGAGTTGGATGCCCACGTTATAAAGTTAAGAGGCTGCACCCTGGAGCAGAGGTACCAAGATGCCCTTGAACTTGTGAGAGAGGAGATGTTGACTCACAAGAGAACTGTTCCTGTCAGGTTGGCATTTGAAGTTGACAACCCTGTGGACAAAAATGCCATCAAGATAGATGTGGAAGTCAATGGTTTTTGGATGATTGCTGGTTATGTTCCAGTGGAGAAAATCCCAAAGGTCACAAAGGCAATCAGGGACTCTACAATCGTATCAGTTAAGTTTGTGTCGGCACCAAAGTTTGAGTTTCATCCTGTGAAAAATGGATTTGGCATGTCAATTGTGGTTGTGAAGAAAGGAAAGTGGCCTGGGGATGACAAAAACAATCAATACAACAGCGACCTTTCCCATTTGTAAGCACGTGCCATACTGTTTTATTATCGATACCGTAACTTACCACTTCTTGTCTCATTTAAAGTCTTTTTCTTCATGCTTGTTTTGCTTACATATAACAAGGACTATGGGGAAACTCTGCTACATTCACATGATACAAATAGATAAAACCATCAATGAGAATCAATCAATAGCTACAGATAAATGAGTACTTGTAAATATTATGTACAGTCTACAGTTTGTGTACAGTGCAAATTAAGTGTAGCTACTAAAGAAGCAAGTCCTGTCCTGTATGTAAGCAGCCATTGATGCATTGCACTATGGAAATTGTATCGAAAACTAGTCTTAATAGTTCATACTTTTACTGTACTTTGTAAACAGCCAATGATGCAGAACTGAACTTGTCAAAATAATACAGTATCAGTACCATACATACATATATACATTGTGTCACCAACTGGTCTTAATAGTTTATACTTTTACTGTACTTTGTAAACAGCCAATGATGCAGAACTGAACTTGTGTCAAAATAATATCAGTATCATACATACATACATATACATTGTTTCTTTACTGTGCTTCTGTGGCTGCACTTTATCATTAACCATTATATGTTGCACAGAATCAGCTTTACTACGTATTTTTTGAAGTTGCATCATATTCCAGATTTATTATGTTATGAACGTTTTATTAACGTATAAACAATAAACACTTCCAGATCATTCTGAAACACTTGAATGTTGTCTAAATTCGATGTAAAGAATCCTAGTCGATGAAAACCTTGGTAATGCCAGCTGTAAATCTAAACTGTAAACTGCTGTTACTTTAAAATTCCTTTGTCGATGACACTAGGGAAAACAGCAGTCGTTAAGCATATAAATTATGGTGAATTTACTGTAGTTAAGTGAAAGTTTACATTTAGATACTGTTAAATTCTATTATTTGGCAATCAATGTGTACCCTTAAACTGGCACTGGTAAACAAACCTTTTACAACATGAATAATTAGAAAATAAATACATGTACCACATGTACAGCTATGTGGTATCTGTGGTTTGTAGAGTGGAGTAATGAATGTCAATCACCTGTAAACTGTATGTACTAACATGACTAGCTTTCTCCACCAGAACTTGAACTCCTTGAGTGTTACTAACTCTCCCCTGGTTTTGTTGTTCAACATGCTGAAAAAGCACTCAACATCATCCGTGGTGGAGGCTCTGGGGTGCTCTGGAAAGCCGATGGTGGTGTTTTGTAGCCGTCTGATTTCCTGGGAGTCAATGTTGGTGGTGACGCCTATGATGGTTTCTCGGCTGAATCCACAGATCCCCTCAACACGCCTGGAATAAAAATAAACTAGTCATGACTAGGTACAGGTACAGGTAACGGTACAGAGGTTTAGGTACAGGACCAGACCTGTACCTGAGTAGGTGAGAAATTGACATGTTCTGCTGCACTTTTTCAATAATGACAGAAACATTGATAAAGTGTTGACAATTTGTCAGTATCATCGATGTCTTGTGAGACTGAGGATCACAAATCGAAGATGGCATTGATTTCACGTTTCAGGACGGTCTTAACGTCTTTTCCAGTGCTAATTTTTCATTTCAGTGGTAGGATTTAATAATCTTTCGTCACAAAATAAGCATATACTTGGTGTAAACTTATTCGGGTATATACAGGTACTTCATGATCCGGTATTTTTTACCTGTACCTAATCATTTTTTACGGTATTGAACCGGTACAACATACCGGTACGTAGCCATAGTCATGACACAAACCACATCCTGGGGATGCTACTTTTCAATGGTAAATTAAAAAGAATGTGATGCAGTGCATTTTTGAAATAATTAGTCACATAACTGCCATATTAGCAAGCAATGTCCTACTCCATAATATGATACTGGTATGTCGTCAAAATGATTACCTGTTTATGTCAATCTTGGACAGGTCTGGGTCCTCCTTGTGCCAGGGCATCCATTCATCGAGGATGTACTTCCTCATTGCTTCATTTGCATTTCTCTTCTGTGCTTGGCTGAGCCCACGCCCATCTGAAGCTTCATGCCAATCGGCAATGACCTTTACATACTTGGCCTCTGCTTCGTAGTTCTTTGATCGGAAGAACTCGGCTACGCTATGTGAAAGGAGTTTTTCAGCATATTTCACAGACTGCTTTCTGAGTCCTACAAGGGCCGCAAGTGTCAGGTCTGTGGTGTTACTTCTCATGGCTTCATCAAAGCGCCTCACGTTGATACCATCATGGCCCCCATCTCTCGTGTGTTTTGCGATTCTTTTCAATATGTGGTCTTCGCGTTCATGGTGTTCCTTGTGTGTTATGGTGTCTATCTATGGCACATACATGAATTTTGTGAAGTTCGATTCTCCCTCTTTCAGTTCTGTCAGCCGTGCCCGGAATTTGTATGTTGCTACGATTGACCGCATCATCTCCAGCTCTGTCTCAGGGATGTGAGGTCGCCACGTGTTGTACATATGACCTTCTGGAACCAGATCCTTCCGGATGTGGTGAAGGCTGTCCTCAAATGTGAGTCCATCCTCTTCTCGCAGCCTGTGTAGCTTGGCTACAACATCCAGTGGAATTGAGCCAGTAGTCTCCACTACAGGCTGGCCTAGGTTGTCTTCTGTGTTATAAAAGAAAACAACCTGTCACCAACATTTCCAAGAAGTGGTTTAGTTATTATATGGAACAAAGCTATAGCCTAGGCCATGTTATGATACATTTATCGCACCATGTAACCACACTCAAGCTTCCTCTGGAATCCACAGATATCATATAGCTGTATAAATAGTATTTGTTTTCTAATTATTCTTATTATTCTTATTATTGTACAAGGTTTGGTGGTCCTTGGGAGGTCAGGGTCTAAGTCATACTAGTGACAGTTTAAGGGTAAAAATTCTATAAGAGTTTACAATGTTATGCAAGCTTTTCAGAATAAGAGCAACAATACACTGAATTCCATAGTGTGCAACGTACCATCAATCTGAACAAGCATCTTCTTCAGTGCTGCTTTGCTCATCCTGGAGACACTCTCCTTGGCGTCGTGGATGTATTGCCAAAGATGGAGTGGGCGAGTGTCCCCCTGTGTGCGCAAGCTACTAAACTCGCCATCAGTGACAGTTCCTGTAGGACAAGAGGAATGATTACTTAGTGAACTTATTAATTTTTTTTTTCAGTGAAAAGGTTGCATGGTTAATGCTAAGCATAAGAAAACTGTAAATGATTTTAATTTTTCATTCATCTTTCTAAGGCTTCTGACTAAAGCCTGCCATAAAAATATTCAACAAACAATATGGCCAATGGTAGAAGGCTGGCTGAAGGATGACAAATAACTCACCAACTGCCAACAGACCAAGGTTGGTCATTTTTTCCTTTAGGGCTCGTGTCAGGTCCCGTACGTACTGGTCCCTGAGACTATGGTACGGAATGTACTGTACTGGGAGGGCATATGGCTTTGTCTTTCTTTGCTCGTCTGACAACAGGACGACTAGAACATGGGTGGCCGCTGGCTGTCTCTTCTTTTTGAACAAGTTGGTGATGTATGACAGCATTCTGGGCTTGTTCCTCTTGTGTTCTGGTCATTAGGTTGTTATATGAAGTGGAGAATTGTTGAGCCTGGTCGAGAAGATTGCTTGTTTCCACTATGTCCCAGTTTAGTTCCTTGAGCTTCTCCTCGGGGGTGGTGGGCACCTTGATCTTCTTGCTGTAAAGGTTGACTGCCGATGTAAGTGACTGTTGTAGGAACTGGCAGTCAGACTGAAGCTGGTTTACTAACGTTGTGATGTCATCTTCCAGTGTTTGTCTGTCTTGATGTGATTCGATGTTGTTTGCAAGGTCGATGCGTTCAGTGTACTCCTGCCTGAGGCTGGCCAGTTTGCCATCCCTGAGATCAATATCCCCATTCCATTCCCTTAACTTGGATTCTTGTAATGCTGGTTTAATGTCCGTTCCATCAACTTTAACCCAGACTCTTCCATTTGGATTTGCTTTCTTTAGGTCTTGCAAGGCCACTTCCTAAAGAGGGACAATAAACAAGCTTATATAGCATTGTATTTTATTATATTTAACAGTCTTATATGATCTTACATCATTTTGAAGCATACAGGATTGAGAGTTATCAAGATGCTCTTTATCCCTTAACAATGGCCACTCAATTGGACACAAGTGGACACAAGAGAACGTGAGAAGTCTAGGAGATACATATCAGGTCTAAGAGAGACTGACAAAAAGTGGCAACATAGGCTAAGTTACCCTGATACAAAGATAGTTACCAGTACAAGTTTGATTGTATTACAAAAGCATTGTTACCAGGGTATCAAAAGACTCACCTGTATGTCTGTTGAGACTGTAGAACCCGAGTTGGCGACTTCGCTGGTGACTGACCTATGGCTCAGGCATGCCACATTCATTTTTGCCTAAATAGAATATAACAGATACAAGAATATATATATATATAACTAAAATGTCCTCTTTCACAAATCAGAAGAGGAGATAGTGACAGTGTGAACTACAAGCATTGCAGGCTATTAATAAATGACATGAAAATTTTGTTTTGTACCACATATAACACTCATGTCTCACAAAAGCCAGGCTACAATTGAAGGTGACTGTACCTCAAGGGGGTCTTTCCATAGTCCTGCTGCACAACCGCTTCAGCCTGGTCCTCTGAACAGTCGGTTGAATCTTGTACCAAACTCAGTGTCCCTCATGACTTGCCATCTTCGGAAATCATCTGGCATGGTTATCTGTTTTAACAAGCAATGCAGTAAAATCATAACCCTGCACACAACAAACAAAGATAATCACAACCTGACATGGATGTAGTCCGGCAGGGTCTGCTTAAAGGGAAGGCAAATTTCTTCAATTTAAAGACCGATGAATCCCAACATCCTACAAATCCTCTTTACAGTAGCTAAATTATATGTTTTGGCAAGATCATGTCCACATTTGGGCTGAGGCAAGACTTGCAAAACTCCAGTCTTCTGCCATAACTTGTCATACATGCCCAATTGATCATTGCTAAGACACTAGAAATTGGACATATATGATGTCATGGCTGGGTGACTGCTCCTGCCGTCAAGACTGCATCATTTTCTACATCATTTGGTCCAACAATTGAAAAAAATTGCCTCCCCTTGAAGGCGAAAGGGGTTAAAGACATCCCTCATGTCCAACGGGACATGCATGCGGTCCCAACGGGGACAGCTTAAGTACTGTAAATTCAGAAATTTTCGCTGTGGTTTTATTTTCGCGGAATTCGCAGTGGCCTCTAAATCGCGAATTCTAAACACGGCAAATTATATTAATACTGTACTACAGGTGCAACTACGAAAACGTCCTTTTTTCTCCTACCGCAAAATATAACCACTGCGAAAGTAAATGAATTTACAATATACAACATGCTGTTAGCACGAACCCTGCTTGAGGAGACAAAAACATGGACCTTTCATTTAGAACATTTTTGTTAGTCCTCATGTCCAACAGGACATGAATGCAGCCTAGTGGAGTAAAAGGTAAACACAGACATCCCTCACGTCCAACGGGACATGGATGCTGTCCCAACGGGGACAGCTTAAGTGATAATTTGAGTGAGACCACCTCCAAATACCTGCTGTGTATTTGTGCTGGTATAAAACTCAATCTGGTACTGTACCAGACCGAAGGGCATTCGTGTCAGGGGCATCAATGGCTCTTCTGTCCCTGGTCTGTTTCTAGCAATGCACTGGGCGAATTTGTAAACTACATTTGTTTTTCCAATGTTCTGCAGCCTGAGCATGACATCCGTGGACATGGAGGCGAAGTCAGTTGGGTACGATGTGATGGTTTTAGATAAAGCAAGTTTATTATATAAATGATCTGTAAGTGTGTTAGCTGTGTCTTCGGACCAGGAATCAAACAACTGGGAAAGGAAAGACTTCTGGTGTGTTACAGAGAGAGACTGTACAGCATTAAGTGCAATGGTCACACGAGAGTCAGAGTCAAAGGAAGACATATTAGGAAGGTTCTCCTCACTATGTGTTAGATGTTGAGGTGGTTGCAGAGGAGAGTCGAGGGAAGGTGGTGCTTCGAGAAAAGTAGGTTCAGCAGGTGACTGAGTTGAACACGACATGTCAACATTGTTAAGCGGGGTAGAAGTAGGTGGAATGGCTGGTATGGGAGAGACAAGAGGGCTACATTGCTGTGGAGTGATGTTAAGGTATGACTCAATTGTTAAACCAAATGCCTTCTCGGCTGCAGACCGGCCCCCAGAAAGTTTTGGATAAGTTACCCTTAGGTAATTAACCACCCTGTTCCGTACAGATGAAGCTGCAAAGGGGTAAGAGTTAACACTTGAGCATTGTATTAAAATATAAACACTTCTATATTGGGCCTGTTGTAACATACATTTCTATTGGTATTCCATGGAACAATTTGTTGTATTTAGTCTTGGTCTTAGTTCAAATAGTAGTTAATTATACCATCTACAATCAAGCATGCAAGTACTCAAAAGAAAAAGCAAAGACAGGAATTTTCATGAAAAATTCACAATTCACAAGCAATTTTTCACATCAAAGCAATTAAACAAAATACCTGATCTATAGGTGGCCATCCCTGACGTTTCCTGCACATACTTCCCTGCATCTTTCCAAAACTTGTTGGCTGCATGCAACTGGGGCCAGTCATCTGCAGACAGGTCTGGGTCCCAGTCCTCAGTCGGCATGGACACAAACTCCACCAAGGCTTTGGTCTCAGCCTGACTCCAGGGCACCCTCTGGCTTCGCTTCACAACAAGGTCTTTTGGTGACGCAACTTTGGAGGCTCTTGACCTTGTTTGACGTGGTGACAGCATATTCTTGGCTTTCTTCACAAGCCTACCTGCAAGTTACATTTTAAAACCATACCATTAGTTCCTCATAGGTTATGAAAGCATTTGCTAAGGATATTTCATCAAATTAAACAATAATTCTAAATGACAATAAAATCAAGTTTAAACATGATTTTGATTAAATACTACAACTGACAGTCCAAATCAAAATAGGTCTGTGACCTACAGAAGTACATACCCTTTGTGATGGGCTTTTTACAGGCGATGTAAATGGCAGACTTTTTCTGGCTTTAGAGGTGGGTGTTCTCTGCACATCCGGGCGCCTTTTTTTTGAGACGGGGCCCCACCACCATCTTCTTCATCTCTGTTTCTACAATGAAGTACATGGCATAAGCACAGTCAGACAAGTATCTCTTTCATTGCTCCTCTAGTATGTGACATGACTATTAGTGTGATACAACAATTATACAGTGCTTAAGTAGCTGATACTGATGACTTTGATTGATTCACTGTCAATGAGAGTCCGTAGTTGTGTGGCTTGCCAGGTTATAATTAGATATTGATTTTTAGAGACATTGTAGTGAATATGACCAAAATTTGCATTTTCCAAAGCACAATAACAATCATACAATCAATCATACAATACAATACAATACAATACAATCATACAATCAATCATACGATCAATCATACATAAAATTTTCACGCTATATTATCAAAATCAAATTACCCAGAAAGAATATGTAGGTAACGTTATATTCTTAATTTTTGCACCCCTGTCTTGCCTACATCAATCGGCTCCGGTCAAGAGGCGTTGTCAAAATAGTACAAAAATCGTCCTTTCCATTTGGGACATTTGTCCGCGAATTCGTGAAGGTTTACGTTAATCCCTCAAACAGCGTCAAGAATAAACACTACGGAATGTGTAGGGAGACGCTCGTTGGTAGAGCTTCCCGAATTTTCAGAATTTTAGCGCAGTTTGTGCACCGTTCTGTGAGTAGCGTTTCACAGGCTGGGCGCCATATTGGAACGGCCGTATTGGAAAATAAACAAAAACAGTCGTTTCCATTTGGGACATTTATCCGCATATTCGTGAAGCTTTACGTTAATCCTTCAAGCAACGCGAAGAATAAACACTATAGAATGTGTAGGGAAACGCTCGTTGATAAAGCTTCTCGAATTTTCATGATTCCAACGAAGTTTTTGGGTACTTGAGCACGCCAAAGTCTTATACTAGCGACTGTTACAATACCATAAGGAAGGACCGGCGGCGGCGTCATGAACCATTATTTTGACACCATACAAGTAACAACGCGTCGAGATTGCCTTATATACTTATGTAATTATAACATTTAAAAAAAAAACATACCTCTTGGTGTCCATCTCGCAACGAAGTCCCAGCTGCTAAACTCACGGACTGGGCGACATGACACCACACCACTACTAGCAACTTTCCCGCCAACATACCGCGCAAAGCATTTCGGGTAACGATTCTCGACTGCTGTTGGTTGCAGGTAAACTGTTTTTTTTTTTTAATTTCACAAGAGCTGTGATCCTAGGCGGGTCGATTTGCCATTACCATTCGAGAAACAACATTCAAGTTCACTGTCATACGAATTCACAACAGTAGTAAGGGCCTAAACTGAGCATTGCCAACACTTTTCGTGATTCCGTCAGTTTTATCCCTTACTGTCTGTTATGCTTTGTTCTTGCTTTGGCAAGCAGCTTCTGGACAGCTGTTTGAAACAGCAGTGTGCAGTGAGGCTGAAAAGGAAAAGCCAGAGGATGACATGGATGCATCAAGCCCAGGACGTAAGTCCACATCTTAATCAGTCAAAAATATGTCAAACAAAGGCTGAAGAATTGTATAGCGTACCTATATGTAATATATTTTTTCACCTTTTAACCTATGAAATCTTCTCCAGGACAAACATCACCAGACAAGGGCAAGGAGAAAGGTTTTGACACGTCCAGCAGTTCTGAAGAGGACTCTGATGACAGAAACGCTGAGAATGGGGATGGTAATTATTATAATTCAAAATGTGCTTCATCACATTTTAAACATCAAAACTTTGATTTCAAACAGTTAAGATTTCTTGATCATATATTAGCCCTTATATCTAAATGTTTCCAAGAAATGGTCTCTCATACCTATCATGCATCTCCTGGGTTTCCAATTCAGTATTTTTTCATATGTCCATGTTACTCCCGTTTGTCCTTCCAGCTTAAAAGTCATAACGACGATTCTGACGATCAAGTTCTATAAGTATAAAGGATATTTCAAGATAGTTTAACTCAGGACAATGATCGTGCTAAGGAACAAAGTGTAATCACCATTTAATGAGTTACGTTATAAGTTTGAATGCATTTTCGTTCAGTGTGCAACACTGCGACTCCCAATAAACGCATCTTCCAGGTTGATCTGTTGCAATATTACCTTCGTTGAGAGCATTTCAGAAACAAATCTGTTCTCTTGGATTTTCAAACAGACAGTAACAGGGTCTGATTTCCCATTTGATTTTATGCAGATGCAGCAGATTCTGGTGAATTGTTTCTGACAGAAACGGATTGTGATTCTGCAAAAGGAAAGGCAGACGGGGACTTGGATACTGCCAACCCTGCCGGTGGGTATACACAACAATTCAGTAGTACTTCTTTCAGTACGCTATAACATAGGAAGTCCAACATTTTCCAAATTTTTACAAAACTTTCAGTCAAATTACAATTGATGGAAAAATTCATTTCAAAGAATAGTAACACTGCAGAAATCTATTTCTTTCCTTCACAGAGAAGACCTCGCCCAAACAGGACAGTTCTGACAGTTCCAGTTCTTCTAGTTCCAGCAGTTCTGATGAGGAATCAGACAACATGAAGGCTGAAAGGAATGATGGTAACGATATATGATATATCACATGATACATAATATGGTAGTAGTATATAGACTAGTGGATTGAAAGATTCAGTCAATGTACGGTATTCTATACAAAACCATCTGTACGTTTTTTCTTTCCATTGGCATGGGAAAGGCTGGCTGGATTGTATGTTTTTAGACAAAAGTAAAATTAGTAAGTGCAAGTATGGTATCCCCGGTATATAAATAGGGTGGCACCCAGACTAAAGAATTGTGCTATAAGTGTCGAAATCACTTACTTCCATTGTCTTGTAGACGGCAGATTGCTGTTAAAGAGGAAACGTCCTAACAGCAGCAGTTCTGACTCAATTGGCAGCTCTGACGAGGAAGAGGAGCATCAGGGTGCAGCAGGTAAGAGATTTCCCATGTACTGTTTATCATAAGTTGTTTCTTAGTACTTCATGTAAATAGGAGACAATGTCTAGTGACCCAGATTTACGGTTGTACCTTCCAATTGAAATATTAGTCATTCACCCCTCAAACTCAACAGTTGGAGACACTACTCACTCATTGGTGGATGAAGGTTCAGCAAAAGAGCACCCCGAAGAAGTTGATCATAACAATGAATATCATCCAGACCATGGGGAAGGAATTACTCACCCAGGTAACCCAGACTTTTGTGATTCAAAGGAAGAAAAGGTTTTGGACTTGAGTATTTCTCAACCGTGTACAACAGATATAAATCTGACATGAATTAGAATGCATAAGAATATTAGAAGACAAATGATATGCAGTCAAATGACTGTGAGCATTCTTTTTCATTCTTAGTGCTCCTGGCAAGAAATACCAAGGAAGTACCAGAATATGAGGTATGTCATAAACTTCGCTGACACATTAGCAACCAGCCTTTTCGTATCCAACATGGACACTTTGCATAGTGCTTGGGCTTGTATGGAATAGACCTTTTGTGTCATGAATTTCTAGCAACATGATGAAGTTATGTACATCTGCAACAAGTAATACGTTCTTTCATACTCTCATTATAATCTTACAGGAACCGCCTGAGTCGTCTGCAGTGACACTGTTGTGTTCTTTCTGCAAGCAGACGATGCAGGCAGAATATTCTTACATTTGTACAACTTGTGAGGTGAATACTTCTGCTTATAGGAACTTATTATTGGAGGTTGATGATAACGAGATGGTTTATTGGTTGCTAATATTGGACCTTGGGCCATAGTAGACCTAGAATTTAAATACCCCTTGATTCTATGTTAGTTTCCCAAACATTATTGAGTACCGTCTAGCAGCTGACATCTGTCCTTTTTTTCCTCTTGCCCTTCGCAGCAATACAACTTGTGTGTGGTGTGCTACAAGAAGAAGAAAGGGCACTCACACGAAATGCGGTGGGGCCTGCAGCTGAAGGATGTGGACACGTTACAGCCCAGCCTGAGTCCACAGGAGGCCAGACACCGGAAAATACAGCTTTGCATCCAGGCACTGGTCCACGCCCGTCAGTGCCGAGACGCAAACTGTCCCCTTCCCAGCTGTCGGAATATGAAACGTGAGGTGCAGCACATTAAGAGTTGTACGATGAAGACCACCGTTTGCTGCTCTATTTCTAAACAGTTGGTTGCTCTATGTGTTTACCATGCCAAACAGTGCCAAGAGCAGACATGCCCAGTTCCATTATGTCTCCCCATCAAGCACAAGTTGCAGCAACATCAAGCACGTCTGTCGTCACCCCAAACACGTGTCACAGACAGAAAAGGTGAGCCACTCTATCGTTTCCACCCCGAAGTGTGTCTATATACTCCATTATATGGTGAAATGATTATTAATAAACTAATGCATGTATGCTTGTATAGATGAATACATGCATAGCATTTATTTTAAAGCACTACACGTGACACACGTGACAGCCACTCATTTCAAATTTATCAGTTCTTTGATATGTATATTTTTCGCTCTGAAGGTGCACATTTTCTTATCATGTATTAGCACAAGTTGCACATTTTGAAAATCATGGAAAGATGTTCTTCTATCATTTCACTTTAAGCAGGGCATATAAATTTAGAGCATCAGAACAGATTTTAATTGCTATCTTGGTTGCAGAAACACAAGTCAACACACCAGAGTGTACCTTCACCACAACCTTATACCCGACCGGAGAAGACGCCTTGGCCTGGAATGACTGTCTCCAAAACTTCTTCAAGACCAATGAAGACACGGCAAGGTCTATCCAGGAGAGCTGGCCAAGTAACTTGCTGGTTAAGCACCTCATCAGGGACAGGTTTTTCCACTCTTACTTGTGTGAATACTGGAAACAGTACCAAACCTTTCCTAACACATTATCAGGATTTCTTAAATTTGTTACCAAAGTATCGGCACGAAAGTTCTCCTACCAAAATGATATGACTGACGAGGAGTTCAAGTCTGCCAATGAAAGTATTTGCCTTGTGTTGGGGAAAACAGCCTTTGAGAATGAATCAAACAACCAGCATTGCTTTGTGCATCAAAGTCAGCTAGAATGAGAGGATGTCCACCAGTCTAGCTCAGGGCTGCTACAACCCATAACTAATGATCATGACGACACTGGCTCTTTCCAGTTTGTACATGACAGCATACGGCAATTCCTCATTGCAGAGTGGGTAGTACACTCGGTTACAACAAATACAGAGGGAGAGAAACAGCTGAGAGATTTTGTGAAGAAATCAGCTGCTCTTCCTCTCAGTTGTTACTGTGTTGCCTACCTGCTTGGTAAATCAGATAATCACAGAAACTACCTGCTTCAGTTTGTGAATTTGCTCATTCAATCAGATATAGCAACATTCGATCACCTCCTGCATGTTGTTAGCACGGCTGTAGAATCAAAACAACTCCCAGAGAAAACTCTTGATTTGCTCTCTCTCCCAGAAGTTTCCTTTCACGGCCTCCATAGCCTGACGATGTACATGTCAGAAACTTCGGTAGCCACAGAGATAAAGTTGCCAAACAAGTTGGCAGGTAAAAACCTACTCAAAATGTATCCATTCAGCAAATCTAAAGCCGTCAAAGATGTTAGCCATGACCAACAAATCCGCTGTTTAAGTTATCTGCCCTTATGCAAGACTAAGTCACCGTACGCTAAGAGCCTGTACTTCAAACAAACTGACAAAGCGTTAGTCGTTAATCACATTGAGAAGTATCTTTTGCACTGCCCCTCACTGACAACTCTTACCGTCCAAAAGGAACTGGTCAATGTAGAAGGTTTTTCCAACATTGCTCGATGTTTTCTATTTTCTCCATCTCTCAGTGCATTAACATTTCGTGGCAAGAAGTCTGCATTGCAGGATGACATTGAAACAAATGCAAAATCATTTGCAAGAAGGTGTCTTGCTTTATGTAAAGAGTTGAATGTTTTGAAACTTACTTACTTAAAAGTTGTAAACTTACCTCCCCTCCCCAACTTGGAGGAGATAGATCTCAGTCACAATAACATTAGTGATGAAGCACTGTCTGGTCTGGTTGAAGGTCTTGGTTCATGTCAGTACCTGAAGAAGGTGAAACTTGATTATAACAGTTTGTCAACCTGGGGAGACTTCTTACCTTTCCTCCCCAACTTGGAGGAGATAAATCTCAGTTACAATAACATACGTGACGAGGCATTGTCTGGTCTAGCCAAAGGCCTATTTTCATCTGAGAGTTTGACGACTGTTAATCTCACCCACAATGAAATCTCCAATAAGGGAGCATTGTTGTTACTTCTACAAGGGAGACACAAACAGCTGCAGTTGACAATTGGAATGAATGAAATATCTGGTGATCTTGTATCTCTCCTCTGTAACTTGAGGGATACTAGCGAGGTAACAAAACTTGATCTCATGAAAAATAGATACCTATGCACTAGTGATGTCCACCTTCTACTGCAGTTCCTCCCTCAGCTGCCCAACCTGCAGGAGTTAGCACTTTGTGTCAGCTGTCAGGGGGAGGAGGAGGCTGAACACATCAACCAGCTGTATGGTGTTCGGCATCTGTTGAAGAAGCTGAAACTAAAGGACTGTTCGTTGGAAAACATGATAAAACTCTCAACTCAGATGTTTCAACACCTGACTCTGTTAGAAGCGATAGATCTCAGTAACAATGCCATTAGTGATGAGGCAGTGCCTGGTCTTGTGGAAGGTCTTGGTTCATGTCAGAACCTGAAGAAGGTGAACTTTAATTATAACAGGTTGCATAACAGGGGAGACTTCTTACCTCCCCTCCCCAACTTGGAGGAGATAGATCTCATAGGCAACGTCATTAGTGACGAGGCAGTGCCTGGTCTTGCTGGAGGTCTTGTTTCATGTCAGAAGCTGAAGAAGGTGCACCTTAGTGAAAACAAGATGTCTGATGTTGGAGAACTGATAAACACCTTTATCAACCTTCCCATCCTGACACGTGTAGATATTGCTTTCAACTCCATCCGTGACGAGTCTCTCCCCGCCATACATGTAGCTGCATGGCTGAAGGTTAGCACAGCTGTGGAGACAGTCAGGCTGGACAATAACGGGTTCAGTGCTGAAGGAGTCCGAGATTTTGTGAGAACCATGAAGGGCAAGGCTTACTGGCGGCATTTTGGTGTCCTCCTGTATGACGGCAGCCTGGCTGATGTGGGCGAGTCTGTGGAATCAGGTGGGGAGGGTGCACTGAGGGAGGAACAGCAGTGGGAGAGGTTGAGGGGGGATACAGGTTTGATTTATGTGAAGGCCAGACAACTGACAGTTTGGATTGATCATAAAGGTCCCAGGTCAAATAATACACAGCTAGCATCGCCTTAAGGTCACCAGGCTTTTCTCCGCATTGTTTGTGATTAATTTAGAGACAGGTGGCGTTACTGGAATCCTGGCCCCTGACGTCCGCGGGGCAGGTACAGGTGGCGTTATCGGAATCCTGGCCCCTGACGTCCGCGGGGCAGGTACAGGTGGCGTTACTGGAATCCTGGCCCCCGACGTCCGCGGGGCAGATACAGGTGGCGTTACTGGAGCTGCCGGGGGCTGGACTGTTGTCGTACGGACGTCGGAATCGGACGGATCTGCAAGGGAAGAAAAAGAGTTTTCCGCGGACTGGGGTCCTTGCGGGGTTACAGGTCTGGGCCCGGCGTGGACGGAGGTCGCGTCGGCTGGTACGGGAGTGTCGCTGTCGCTGTGGGGAAGGGTTTGGTTATTGCGGCGCCTTTGGGGCGCCGGTTGATCTCCTCGTACCGGATCATAGTCCGGGTCCAGCTGCTGGGGAAGGAACTGTTTTAGGTTTTCAAAATGAATTACCTTAACTTCTCGCCGGCCGCGGGTGTTTTGCACTTTGTAGGCTTGGTCTCCTACCCGTCCCAGGACTCGATACGGGCCATTGTATTTCCTGGCCAGTTTCCGGGCGAGACCTTGGCCTACTGCCTTGTTTAAGATCAAAACAAGGTCACCCGCGGCGTACGGCTCACCATATATCTTCTTGTCATAGAGTTCTTTTTGACGGCATTGTTTTTGCGAAGTGTGTTGCTGCACCTGAAGGAAGATGGCGGGGAAGGAGTCATTAAGCTTGGAGACAAACTGGGGGATTGAGGTGTCGGACATGGGGACACCTGTTAAGAGATGTAACGGCAGCCGGGCTTCGCGCCCGTGCATAAGGAAAAATGGGGAAAATCCAGTGGTGGCATGACAGCTCGTGTTATAGGCGAACCGTACGGCGGGAAGGTGTATGTCCCAGTCCCGCTGGTGGGCAGCGACGTACGCCCTGAGAATGTTGCCCATTGTACGATTAAACCTCTCTACTAGGCCATCAGATTGGGGGTGATAGGGTGTTGTTCGGGTTTTGGTGATCTTTAGGTATGTACAGAGGTGTTTGATGAGATTCGAATCGAAGTTATTTCCTTGATCGGTATGTAGGGAGGCTGGGGGGCCATGTCGGCACACCCACCCGTCATAGAACTTTTCAGCTACCGACTCTGCTGTTTCATTTTCTAGAGGGAAAATATCTACATACTTCGTGAAATAATCTGTGGCCACAAGAATGTACTTGTGACCACCCACGGTCTTGGTCAGAGGGCCGACGATATCCATGGCTACCCTCTCATTTGGGTAGCCTGTTACACTAGGGCATAGGGGAGCTCGGGGGTGACGTTGTCCCCCCTTCGTCCGTTGGCACATCAGGCAACCCGCCACGAAGGCCTTAACATCATTTGTCAGTCCCGGCCAGTAAAAGGAAAACTTGACCTTGTCTACCGTTTTGTCTATCCCCAAATGGCCGCCAAGGGGATCAGAGTGGGCCATTCTAAGAACAGTGGGGACAAGGGCCCGGGGGACTAACAGTTGCAAACGAGGGTCTGGGTTGTGGGGACGAATAATCTGGCGGTATAGGACGCCGTCGCGAAAGACTAAATTATCCCAGTCGCCTTACAGCGCGCGTTGGTCCCGTGTTAGGGCCTGCCAGCCGGCGGCCACGGGTTTGACGTTCTGGGCCCTGTCAGTCACAAGTTGTCTCAGGATCGGGTCGTCGCGCTGCTTAGCCGCCAAGTCTAGCGGGGGGCACAATGGAATTGGGTGGGGACCAGTGTCTGACCTGACATTGTTGATCTGTGGGCGGTTTACGCCCAACGGGGTGTCGGTCATATCCAGGGCATTGTCGTCCGCGCCACATTGAGTGCAGGGGTGACGGCTGAGAGCATCGGCATTGCCGTGACTCGTGCCGGCCCTGTGCTCGACGTTAAAGTCGTACGGACTCAGACGAATAATCCACCGGGCAGACTGTCCGGTGGGATTCTTGTTGCGCAATAAGTATCGCACGGCTATATTGTCCGTGCGAAGGAGAAAGGGGTGGGGCCCGTGCAGGTAACAATCATGTTTGGTAACGAACTCTACCACGGCCAGCATCTCCCGGCGGTGCGTGCAGTACCGCTGTTCCGCTGGCGTGAGGGCCCTGCTGTAATACAATATTGCCCGTTCTTTACCGTCTTGGATCTGACTCAGGACGCCCCCGATTCCCGTGTCCGAAGCATCGGTATCTACAACAAAAGGTAGATCGAAGTTCGGATAGGCCAGGACCGGAGAGGTGACCAGGGCCTTCTTAAGGGCGTCGAATGCCGTCTGGCAGTCAGAGGACCAAACAAAACGGGCGCCTTTCCGAGTCAGAACCGTCAACGGCCGGGCGAGTTGGGCAAACCCGCGGACAAACCGACGATAGTAGTTCGCGAGGCCTAAGAAACGCTGAATGTCGCGAACCGAACGCGGGGTGGGCCAGGTATCGATGGCGTCTGTCTTCGAGGAGTCTGTACTGACTCCGTTACCGGAGATAACATGGCCCAGGAACTCGACCCGGCGTTGGAGGAAACATTTCTCGGGGTTTAGTTTCAGACGCGCCTCACGGTACCGCTGGAAGACGGCCCGCAGATTGTTAAGATGGGCCGTGACGTCATCGTCAGAATGTACGATATTGTCGTCAAGATATGCTAAACAACACTGTGGTTGCAAGCCGCGCAATACAGATTCCATCAGTCGGGCAAAGGACGACGGCGCGTTGCAAAGACCGAACGGTAAGGCCGTATACTGATACGTCCCGAAAGGACTGGTGAACGCGGTTTTTCAACAGACGCGGGTCGGACCGGGATTTGGTGGTATCCCGACCTCATATCTAGGGTGGAGAACAATTTTGAGCCGGAAAGGGCATCAAGGGTATCGTCAATACGGGGGAGAGGCCAGGAGCATTTCTTCGTCACCGAGTTAAGGGCCCTATAGTCGACACACATCCAGGTGTCTCCATTCTTCTTCTTAACCAGTACGATGGGGCCCCCCAAGGAGAATTTGAAGGCTCAATAAACCCCAGTGACGTCAGTTTATCTAGCTCCTGACGATTCAGCTCCTTAGCCTGGGGAGAGGTGCGGCACGGGGGAAGGCGAATCGGGACGGCGTCCCCCGTCTCGATAGAGTGAGTAATCACAGGGGTAGTGGATATGTCATGCGAGGAACGAGAGACTATGTCTTCATATTCGACCAGCAAGTCGAGGAGCCGCTCTTTGTGGGCAGGGTTTTCAATGTCGGACAGATCAAACAAGCTGTCCATTTCGGCACGGATAGTAGGGGAGTGGGTGGAGACTTGGGGGGTTGGAGGGGGGAGGGGGAAGCAGAGGGGGAGGGAGGGTTGGGGGTTATGGCGGGGGCCAGGGGGACAGGGGTGGTAGGGCAGACAGAGACTCCGCGGGATGTCGGGCTGTCAAAAGGGTGAAAAAGCGCGATCACGGCACCAGGGCGGATTAAGACGGGTTCGAGAGTTTCGTTAACAACAAATAATCTGGTGGTGCTTCTCGTGGGAGTGTGGGAGATCAACTCCCCAGTCAGACCATACTTACCTAGGGACGCGAGGGCCGGATTAACATAACCAGAACCACGTGTTGGCTCGGCGCGTTTCCCTACAATTTTGCCGGGGACCAGATGAACGGAGCGCGGGGGCACGAGGTACGAATTTCGAGTAACCACGCGACGGACAGCGCCTGCTGCCCTACGGGAGACCGGAATGGAGACTACGCCTTGGGGCCCCCAGAGTGTCATCTCACGATTGCGCAACGACAGTTCGGCCCCGTGAGCCAGAAGAAAATCAGTCCCTACTAGTGATGCATACCGGTTCACTGGACTTGGATCCGGACTTG